TTCACAACCGTACTGACGATCTTCTCTCCTTATCGTATATAGCCTACGGATTTGGCAAAATGTTTTTAGAAGAATGATGTGTACGCCTTGTGCTATAGGGACGCTAGTAAGGGATTAATTCAACTTTTAGACGTACAATTTGTTTGGTGTAAAAATAAGCCGTATAATATTAAAACAGTATTGTATAGTACTATTGCAAAAAATTAATAAAAAAGGAATTGTAATTAATTAAAAAAATAATTGCAAACAATTATTCATCAACCCAAAATGCTTACCGCTACTAGCCATTTATACGCGTGGCATTTATATCGTCATTTAAGTTCTACACAAGAATCTTTATGCCTTAAACATACCTAATTTCAAGAGTGACCAAAATATGAATAAAACTGTATCATATTTGTACAGCATAATAGTGTGATAGTGGCATACATAATACAAACTATCTAATAAAATGTCTATATTTTATACAACTATAGGTTCTGTTCAAAATCTGTATGCACTTTACACCTGTTAAAATTCAATGAAATATCGCCCATGTGGTTATTCAAAATAACATGAGTAGAAAAATATACTGTTTATCACTAGTTACTGTTTTGAACCAGCTCTAACGTATACTAAATCGCACACTCGACGACAGTTAGAAAATTAGAAATAATAATCTTGTTCACTCCAATAATGTAATAATGAGCCGTTCAACACAAACTATTCAAATGTAATATCATATATACATTCACAAGATATTCCAAATAGCTCGAAATATAAAAAATTCCATTTATTTTTCAGTGTAACATTAATGAATACAAGACAGCTTAATTTTGTGAGACTCACAATCATATTATGAGCTCACACTTACTATTGTTTTTGTATTTAAACTCACACATGAATGCTTCTCCATTCCTATTTTAGTAAAAAATGAATAGCCACATGGTTTATAATATATATATATATACGGCTGCATCCGAATTGGGTACCAGATTTAAAATTACTACATTAGTTGGGTCCCGGATTTTCATAGGTACTACACTAGTTCCTAAATATTTTTTTGGTAAGTACTATATTATACTAACATTTTCCTTCCCATTTTAACAGACTTAGGACTGTCTATGATCTATTTAAATCTCATGGTATGGTTAAAAATGTTTTTTTATAGCTTTTTTTTGTTTTTTTAGTTTCTTTTCTATTAATTTTTATTTATACTATATAATGATTTTAACATTTTTAATATTTTTTCGTTTATCTATATAGCTACAATTATATTATAAAATATGTATTTTTATACTTGATTTTTAACATTTTTAATATTTTTACCAACACAATTCTAATAACTTATATTTTAATGGAAAAGAAACAAAAAAACAAAACAAACTATAAAAAACATTTTTAACCATTCCTGTGGTCTAAATAGATCATTGATAGTACTAAGTCTGTAAAATGAGAAAGATAATGTTAGTATAATGTAATAATTATCAAAAAATATTCAGGAACTAGTGTAATGCCTAAAATAATTCAGGACCCAACTAGTATAGTACCTATAAAAATCCGGGACCCAACTAGTACATTACCTGCGATTAACCCCTAGTACTTGAGACCCAACTCGGATGCTCCGATATATACATATACATAATGACATATTTCGTTCGAATTTCGAAATCGTAAAATAAAATCGATTTCTAAACGATTGCGTTGTATGAACACGATAGTATAACGATCAATGTATATTATTTTATATTATATCACGAATCAGAACTCCAAATCAAATACAAATAATAACTGAGATCCTGTACAAACAAATTAATTAAAAATCCCTTTCAGTTTATTGTTACGAACGATTATAACGGTTAAGAGCGGGATTGTTCCTTCATAATAGTAATTAAATTAATGCGAAGGATGCAATTTTTTTTATTAGCATTTTTAGCATTTTTGAAATACACGGAAACTTCACAGTTAAATAGTCACGAGTCCGTAATCTAATTACTTTCATTTCTATGCACGTTAAATATGGTACTGCCACGGAGTTGACACTAAAAAAATATCCAAAGTGATGCGCCGAATTAATCAATTTGTTCGACTATTAAGAGCATGGTGATAATAATAATGAATTTATTGCATTTGATTAATTGCGTGTCGAAGTCGTGTACAGCTGTATAATATACATACATCGTGTGTGTGTGTATGTGCTATGTTGTGTATCGCGTCAATCACATCGAAGTCTATAACGATTTATTTGTGCGACACTTAGCAACGACTATTCACTGACCCGTAACCAAAGAAATACATGTATCGCGTGGAAAAAGTGGGTTTACATCAAAAATGATTAGTTTTACCACACTACTACAGTTTTACCAGTGTATATATATGTACGAACGTACCATAAAGATAAAATGTATTAGACTGTTAAAGAGTTAAAGCATTTTTTTGTAAAAGGAACATTCAATTTAAAAAAAAAAAAATGTTCAAACCATACGTTTTAACTGATTTTATAGACCATTGAGCATTGTATAATGTATTTATAAGATTTTCGTGGAATTAAATACAAGACATAGGAATAGAATATAAATATTAATTTTAACCACTGTCCGTCTTTTAAGTCATACAAAAATATAAGACTATTGGCGAAAACAGTTAATTACTATTTATTCAAGTATTAAATACAATTATGAATTAGCTTAACTCATATAATATTACCTTACATACTATACTAAATATTTAAACAAAATATTGAGATTGCGTTTTACTTTGTTTTAACATTAAATATAATACGTCAAATTAAATTCTCGCTAATTTTTAATTAAACGCCTTGTTTTTGTTAAACCCTCTTGAGTTTTTTTCTGTCCAACTTATAAATATATACAAAGTGTCCCGTTTTAAATGTACCACTAAATATCTCAGCCCGATAATCTTCGATTGAAATACGGTTTGTTGCAATAGCTCAGAGGTACTGAAGTACACATTTAAAGACAAATTTCAAATGTTTAACTCTTGTAGTATGCGCATGCGCAATACAAATTATTTTTTTTTAAATTGCAACACCTATTTTTGCTACCGGATATGGATAGATTATTTTATTCTAAGTAATTTTGAACCATTGACCATAGTTCTAAACCTAAAATTGAATGAGTTACAGCTTTTTGAAATTTTAAAATAATTAAATTTTTTCATTGTACTCATTATCTATTACATCGATTCCCAACCACTTGTGGGCTGAGAACAGAATAGTACTGGGCCTTGAACTATATAATATTAACATTACTTATGTATATATCTAAAATATTAAATATCAGTAAATGAAAAAGATTCATTAATTTAACTTCCATGTGATCAGACTTTAAAATCGTTTTTTAAAACCACATCGTTAGGGCCATTCTGGTTAAATTTACGGCAAGGAATCCAGCAATCGCAAAAATTGCACTAAGCAACTTGATAAGCTTTTCGATAACATAATTGTATGAATGAGCTTTTTCTACATGTACTTTATTTTTTTTTAAAAATAAATTTTGAAATAAATTGTATGTTGAAAGTGATTTAAGACTATATTAGCCAGTTTCAATCCAGATATTTACTCTTTCGTGGGGGACAAGCAATGCCAACAATCACATTAAATTGTGAATAATCAGGTTCAATAATTTATTTTTTATAAGCAATTGTTTATTAATTATTTTTGTAATAACTCACGTATATATATATATATATATATATATATATATATATATATAGTTAATGGAGAGCCTTAAAAATTATTTTACGAAATTGGTGATCCACACTATTAAAAAGGTTGGTAATCACTGATCTATTATATTCTTCACTCGTTAATTAGGAGACACGAGGTAGGAAACCACTTTTTATAAAAATCGTATTTGCTTTCCAATAAATAATTATATAAAAAAAATAGTAATTTTTAATATTTTTACTGTCACTTTGACTATTCAAATCGTGTTGCGCCGTTTCAATTAAAACGTAATCTTCGTTTTTATACAAATAATAAATAAAACATAACTACGAATAATTTTTTACAATTCGTGAGTATTAGCGTATTAAGGAACAGACATACAATCGATATTCAAGAGAAATATTATAAGCGCTGAAAAGTCAAAAATTCAAAAACCACAACGATTTAAGAAATATCCTTTTAAAAATGTCTTCCTCTCAAAATGTGCCTATAGTGCCTGCATATAAATGCACACTACTAACTCTACATTTTAGAAGCGGAAAAGTTCTTGTCAAAACTATGAACTATTCAATTTTTACAAACGTGAAAAATAGTATATTATTTATTTTGTTCAAACAAAAATATACATTTGAATATTAGATTGGTGTTTATGAAAACTAAACTCTAATGACACTTTAATATTAATTATACATAATGGCTGTTGAAAAATGAAACACGTTATTGACTGTTGTATAAATACTCCAACTGAAAATTATAATTAATACATTTTATCATATAGTCTTGCGCCGATCGTGTCAAATTTACAAAAAAAATTGAAATAAGCGTTTAATACGATGATCAATAAACGATTTTTTAATAGGGAGGAAGAGAGGGGAGCTTTGGGTGCAGGTAAAATATTAGCCCGGAGAAATTTAAACAGTTATTGCGTTACGTTACAAAATTTATAAAAATTATGTATTACTATATTTTTTGTTTTGTTTATTAGAGCTTTCATATTAGTACCATAATTATTCATAGGTACATATGATTTATTAAATTATTTTTATCATTACGGTATATGCTACATAATGTATGCTTTTTGAAGTTTTTTTCTAACCAAAAATATTCCCCCTTCCTCAAGGATAAACATACACTTATGAACGTAATGAATAATATAGTACTAGCAATCGGACATTAATAATTAAACCGTCCCTACAATAACATTTTATATAGTAAAAATGAATATTTTTTCTATCCAATTACAGCTAATTGACAGAAACATGCAAACCATATAGGTTAAAGAAATCTCCTTGATTTCGAATTTAATGCAGTCCTTTTCCATCGTTAGTGGAAACACAATGGTAGAAAACATATTATTATTATTCATATTATTGTGGTCGGCGGTTTGCGTAAAAGGCGATGTCTATAAAATCGGTAAAGTATATTATTTATATAATTTCTTAACTGTAAAATAATGATTAAATATGCGGGTGAGTATATATTTTATATTTTATTGAAACAATAACAATTTATATGGTGGAGTATAAAATACGATTTTAAATTATGTAGTTTCTTAACTATTATTACTAATAATACAAAAAATAAAGACAAACCACGAATTTCCATATACTACACACTAAACTGTTAAATTTACTGTTTTTGGCCGATGCCCGATGTTTATCGGCATTTTAGCAGTTTTGCTACGGATTAGTTAAATAAAAATTTGATTTAAATGCTTAATTTTATCTAAATTAAAGTCACTGAAAACAGTTCAACATCAATTAATAACAATATTATAAAGATTTTTTTAATCTAACACTTGAATATTTATATATAAATATTTAAAAATAAAAATAAAAATTAGTATAAACGAACGTTTATTAATAAACTTTACACTTATACAACTAACTTAAAATAACGATGATTTATGTCTGATAATATCGGATAGTATTATCTAATAATTAATGTATATTATATTAATCTAATTATTAGAATTATGTTTGAAAGATTAAATCTATACAAAAAAATATAATAATCTCAAACCTATTTCATTCCATGATTGTAAATATCCATTATTGTCTCCACACTACTTTATTTATTACCAATTCTTTGCGAAGTCATTGGAACATATTAAATAGATGGAAAATACACTCAAGTTTACAACCATAAAAAAGTTTCGAAAACTACACACCAACTCCAAAAAAAAAAAAAAAATTAAAACTTGTGCATAAAAATTACATATGTACACAATAATTGCCGAAAACTTTAACATTTTAACTTCAAACGTTGTACGAAGTGAATTTGTATTTTATTCTCCCATAAATTTCAATACTCGAAAACAATTTGCAAAAGCAACTAAACTCGAGACCTACACGTGCGACATAACATATGCGTACAAAACATGTCATATAAAATATAATATCTGGAAAACTCATCCTATGCATTTTATTTATCAAATGACTTCGACGTTTTAATGTAAAATAAATGTATCACCTACATCGTGTGTATGGTATGTATGATGAAAAACGTGGCGTTTCTGCCACGCATCAAACGCATCGACTTCTTGTTTGACGGTGAACTTGAAAATCGACGGCAGCATGGTGGTAAAGAATACTGTGTTCGGGAACAAGCACTGTACATTATTTGCATAATACATACCTATAACATACATCCTGCGCTCCACGGACGACGATTGAAAACCAGACAAATTGTAGCAGTATCTCACGTATCGTATATGTTATCAGTGTGAGAGATAATTCCAAAATTTACACGTCATTCCGCTACGACTCCGAACAATAATGCAGAATTTTGTATAAGAACACAAACGAAATTATTTTTTTTTAATTTTAATTTTTATGAGTACATCCTTTGAACTTTCTTCCGTTTGGTCTAAATATTTAAATCTGTTTCCACATTCCGAGTGTAACACATCCACAATCCACACACCGCAATCCTAAAAACAAAAACCCAAAACTTACTCAACCGTTTTTGTATTCTAAACTTATAGCATAAGGGCGCTATGCAGTGTGTGTGTGTGTGTGTGTGAGCGCGTATGTTTGTTACTACGATTTTTTCGGGTAAAAGGAGT